ACGCACTGTGATTAGTAAAATTCACACAAAAACCCTGCGCTTCAAGGTTGGGTTGCTTTTCACTGCACGGACCTTCAGGCTCACTGCATGTACCGATATGCATAGCAGCGACATACAAAAGAAATGTCACCGTCGTGCGTCCGCAAAGCGCGCTTCCCACACGGACGCTGCCCTCCTCATCTCTCCTGATGTCCGGCGCAGCCATGGAGCAAGCCCCTCCACGACACCTGCCCCTTCATCCAAAACAGGGCTGTATAGAGCGGTTCACAACGCGACGCCAATCCACACCAAAACCAATAACCCCCAAAAATCACCGCTCATCACCGCCAAAAGAAGACTCATCGCCGTTATCACTCTCAGACGACACTGAAGTATCGAGATCGTCGCCGCCACCATCGTGGCAACCGTCAGCACTCCCATCGAAGAGACGCATCGGCGTGGCCGGCACCGACACAATAGCTGCCGCCGTCTCATGCTGGGCTGAGCAGCCAGCCATCCTCGGCTCCGTCATCGGCTGCACACCACGGCGGCATCGTCCGCTGCTCCGCATCTCCTCCAGCCAAACACGCTCACGCTGCTGGCTATACTGTACGCCAATCTTATCCCGAAGTTCACACAGTAATTCCCACATATACTGCACCACCCAAGGGTTAACGTACTGCACTCGCGACTCCAGGTCATGCATGCGCGTCTCCAGACGCTTGACACCTCGATGAACTACGTCCACGTCCTTGACGCTGGCCTTCGATGTCTCCTTCGCATGCTACACAGTAAGTGCGCGACTACGGGAGGTCACTGTGGTACCCGCCATCGTTGCACATGACGCCCCCACGGCGGAAGTGGGCTGCGCTGCGAGAACCAAGTCCCCGAATCCAGCGGAGACGCTCATGTTCCCTCTCAACGGCGAAAACGCCTCTCTTCTACAGCGTGCGCTCGCTCTTGCAGTCTCAGTGAAGTAAAAAAAAGAAAAACCCAAAGGCAAAAGAGCAAGGTATAGCAGCATCAGCATCGTGTGCTCATGTGTAAGTGAGTGCCCCAGCCCCCCGCTCAGACGAACCCCCTACACCGCACTGTATCATATTTGAAGGCGTCCAAATGCATGTACTTCATAGAGACCCGCATTTATTGCACGAGTCATTGAGAAAAATCCGGAAAGAATCCTATGGAAGAAGAACAAACACCTAATTAATAATGGAGTAACAGTCCTCACTTGCGCCGTATGCTTGAAAAAAGATTTATCCGTTTTGCACTAAAGCAAAACATCGAGCCGTCGAATGCGCAGAGCTGACAGATAAGAAAATAAAAACGTTTTCGATTACGTTTGCCTTCCCAATCTGGCACACAGTCGTCAGAGAATAAGAAATAAATAAATATTAGGACGGGAAGGAAACGAAGGGAAGTGCACCGTCCACCTTCCCTCTAGCGTGAGGGGGGGGGGACTGCATCACTTTGGGCACGGCTCACCGGCCTCAGAGCGCAGCACGGTAAATCTCCATCACATCCTCTTTGCTGCCCTGTCGCGGGTTGGCAGCGGCGCAGATGTCCTTCAGCGCCGCCTCCGCGAGCGTGGGGATGTCCTTCTCCAGCATGCCAAGCTCCTTGAAGCCACGCGGGATGCCCACTTCACGCGACAGCTGCCGAATAGCAGTGAGGGCCGCATCTGCCGCATCCTTCTCCGGCATGCCGGTGGTGATCACGCCGAGGCGGAGTCCTACATCGCGCAGGCGGTGGGCGCAGACAGTAGCGTTGTACTCCTCCACGTGGGGCAGCAGAATGGCGTTGCACACACCATGAGGGAGGTTGTAGAACCCGCCGAGCTGGTGCGCCATCGCGTGCACGTAGCCGAGGCCGGCGCTGTTGAAGGCCATACCAGCAAGGAACTCAGCATAGCACATACCTTCGCGCGCCACAAGGTCCTTGCCATTCTCCACGGCGTTCTTGAGGTGCTGCTTGATGAGCTGCATGGCCTGCAGCGCACAGGTGTCCGTGATAGGGCTCGCGCCCACGGACACGTATGCCTCGACCGCGTGCGTGAGGGCGTCCATGCCGGTGGCGGCGGTCAGAGAGGGCGGCTGGCCAACCATCAGCTCCGCGTCGTTGATGGCCATCAGCGGTGTCGACGTGTCGGTCGCAATCACCATCTTCGTGTGGCGCTTCTCGTCCGTGATGACAGCAAAGCGCGTCATCTCGCTTGCCGTACCGGCCGTTGTGTTGATAGCAACAATGGGGAACTGATCCTTCGCTGCCTTGTCCAGACCCTCGTAGTCGTGAATGGTGCCGCCATTCGTCTTGACCAGCGCGATGCCCTTGGCGCAGTCCTGTGGCGAGCCACCACCGAGAGAAATGATGCAGTCGCACGCCTTGCTGTTCAGCAGAGCAAGACCCTCCTCGACGTTGTGGACAGTCGGATTCGGGTTCACGTCCGTGAAGATAACAGGCTCCATCTGGCACTTAGCCTTGAGCCTGCTCACGACATTGTCGAGAACCCCCGACTTCGCGATGCCCGCGTCAGACACCAGCAGTGGCTTCTTGAAGCCCAACAACTTCACCTTATCCATGGCGTTGTCGAGGGCACCGACACCGAGGTAGCTGACCCGCGGGATGAAGAAGGCGGAGGCAGCGGCATTGAGGTGCGTTGCACGAAGCATTCTTACCTTCAAAAACTGATCCTTGGAAGTGTTTGTGTTTAGACGAACTCGTATCTCTTGATCATCAGAAGCAACAAATGGACAAGGTAGGATACGCACTGTGATTAGTAAAATTCACACAAAAACCCTGCGCTTCAAGGTTGGGTTGCTTTTCACTGCACGGACCTTCAGGCTCACTGCATATAGTCACCACACAACTGTAGGTGTCAAGCAAATCGATAAAGGGAACTGCGGGGTGTTGCATCGTCTGATTCGCTCCCCAATTCCCACAGCAGTCATCAAGGTAAAACTGAAAAACACGTTGCCCTCATATCATTTACTAGTGATTGGTTTCATATCGATCACTACGAAAGCACGACTGTCACTGGCAGCATCCACAAGCATTATCTAATATTATTTTGAAGTTGAACAGCTCTAATTCGGTCGATCACACTTTCCTTTTCCACGAAGGACTAGCTGGGTATGATGAAGTTTGCATTTTTCAGGTCTCTGATGTGTATCCTTTTGTGATATAACCTTGTTGTAGATACTTCCGCGAGACACAAGCTGCAACTGCCGCTAGAACAGAAACCTAACGGCGCCCACGCTGTATCATTTCATTGTCATTGAGTGTTGAGTATGTCTGAAGACCTTTCTATTGGTGGATAAAATCGTCAAAAACGCACAGAGAAAGCGAACAAATTGTTTGGTCCATAGCTCTTGGTTAAGCACATACAGAGAGGCGAGCATATGATGGAGAAGGGTCTTATACTCCTGTCTGAGAGTGTCTTGCTTCCAATAATTTGACTCCCCTAGCCTACGTGTGAAACGTCCATATCTTTTTTCTTCACTCCCCTCCACTCTCGCGCGCCTCTTTCCTCTTTCTCCTCCTAATCTCACTGTTACATCTAACAATGTTATGGTTGCTGCTGATTCCTTTCCCTCGCTACCTTCACAGGAGGGTGATTGCGGTAGGCGGAAAAATAAAAGAGTGAAAGAATGAGACATGGCGACCTACTGATCATAACAGGCTCCCTTCGGGCTTCTTTCCGCGGAGGAACGTCCAAAAGAAACACGAAGATCAGCAGAGCTGTACTCTCTTGCTATCAAATTGTTTTCTTCCCTTCTGTTTCCCCTTTTGCTTTCTGTGATTCTTCGATGGGGAATTTGTTGTATATTGCTCGCGCCGCTCGCAAGAGTCGCGGTAACGGCAATTTTTTCCTTCTCCTGAGTCGTGTTCTGTGATGAAGAAAAGGGAACACAGACGATATGGTGCGTTATGACACACACGCACACAGTCAGCATTCCTTTCTCTCTGGGTCACGCATCATTTTGTTCCATTCTTCCATTCATTCCCTCTCAGCCCCCCTCACATTTCGTACACTCCCCTCTGCTGTGGCGTCGCGTGTGTGATTCATGTTTTCCTTTCCTCATTTCCTCCGCATCTATTGTGTGGCATTTAATACTCACTCCGCTTGAAAGTCTACTTCTTCTTCTTCGGCTTACCCGTCACGGCCTTCGTCTGCTTCACACCTTCGATGCTCACCTTCGGGTCGAGAGCAATGCACTCTGTGATAGCGCCCCAACCAACAGTGATTTTTCCCTCGCGGATGGTGAACTTCAGTCCCTTCTCCACCGGCATCGGGTAGGCCAGCGTCAGCACGAGCTCGCGGTTGTCGCCCGGCATACACACAAGCGTCTTCTCAAACTCCTTCAGCTCCGCCTCCTTCTTCTTCTGCTCCTCTGCGTCACGACCGTACTTCTTGTTCAGCTCCGCCGCGAGCTTCTCGCTCTCGGGAAAATTAATGTCGGCCGTGACATCGGCGCAGTGGAAGAAAAGTTGCGGGCGGTAGTGTGGACTAAAGGCGGTGTGGCGGCCGCCCTCATCCTTCGTCAGCACGTACACCTGCGCGCGCACCCTGTTGAAGAGCGTTGTGGCGCCGGGTGCGGAGAGCACCATGCCGCGCTCGACGTTGTCCTTCGATAGGCTCGTCGTTTCGCCGCTGCCGACGATGCTGGCGCCGACGGAATCGCCCGGCATGCACTCGTCCAGCGTCTTGTGGTACATCTCAATGCCGGTCACCTTCACCGTCATCTTCTTCGCGCTGAAGCCTGAGAGCTCGGCGTCAGCGCCAAGCTTCAACAAGCCCTGGTCCACACGACCCGTCACGACGACACATTTCTTGTCCTTCCCAATCTCGTAGACGTGCTCGATGGCCATAAGGAAGGGCTTGTCGGTGGCGCGCGGCGGATCGGGGATCCACTCATCGCACTTCTTTACAAGCTCCATGATCTTCGCCTCGTTCTCGGCGTCGCCCTCCAGCGCTTTCACCGCGGAGCCACGGACAAACGGTGTCTCCTCAGCGGGGAATTTGTACTTCTCAAGCAGCTCACGCACCTCCATCTCGACCAGCTCAATCATGTCCTCCTGCCCGTGCATCATGTCACATTTGTTGATGAAACACACGAGGGCGGGAAGACCAATCTGCGAACAAATGAGCAGATGCTCGCGTGTCTGCGGCATGCATCCGTCATTGGCAGCCACGACAAGAATACCACCATCCATCTGCGCTGCGCCGGTAATCATGTTCTTCACAAAGTCCATGTGGCCAGGGCAGTCTATATGGCCGTAATGGCGCTTCTCCGACTCGTATTCCACGTGCGTTGCGTTGATGGTGATCTTTCGGCTCTTCTCCTCTGGGGACTTATCAATGGCGAAGTAGTCAAGTGCCTTCGCCTTACCTACCTTGGCCAGCACTGTAGTGAGGGCGGACGTGAGCGTCGTCTTTCCGTGGTCGACATGACCGATGGTACCGATGATAAGATGCGGCTTGCCACGCAGAAAGGCCTCCTTCTTGGGTGCTAACAGAGCACTGCGGAAGGCAGTACGGAACATAGCAAGTGAAAATGATGTGTTATTCCTTCTTGTTCTTCTTCCAGGTTCTTTTTGACAACAGTAAACAAATTCGTATGTATGTATGTGACGGGAAATTCCCTTCGCGCCTACTCACTCGTTCCTTTCGAGGTTTGGAGAGGGTGACTTCTTCCTTGTGAGCAGAAGCGAAAGAATCGCACGGGTGAGAAAAGGGTACGTCTTAGTTCGTTTAGTGTTTTTTTTTCCTTCCGTTGCAACTGCGTACGTAATCAGCGTGGTAAACCTCAATCTTTGTGGTAAAAAAAAGGAAAAGAAATTAGGTACATGGCAAGGGGAAGATACACCCTCACCGCTAGCTCTCCGGCATTCTCATCCTCTTCACTCGCCAAATCCGGTTCATTTACATCACAGCATTGATTTATCCTCCTTTCTATAAACACCCACTGGGGCTGCCACCTCGGCAGTCGAAAAACACGTGCCGTACACTATACGCCTTAAATCACGCTCCAGTAAACGGACACTACGGCATAGATGTGCGCTGAGAGATCATGTGCGTGATTTACCCATCCATCCGCCTGGCTATAATAGCAGCTCGAGCAGACGTGTATTCCCGCCCCACACTTTCTCATAATCATGCAGTGTGTCACAAACTTGTATGGGCGGCGCATCGACAGCAACTTCTCCATGATGCCATCGCAAATAAGCTGAATCCAACCTTGTGCCTTGATGTGGTCGTACCGTTGGGCGTCATCCTCACCGCCCTCGTCATCGAAGTACGGGCTAAGAACCTGCAGGATGATGTTCTTCACATCGTTTGGCAGAACACCGTTGATCTCCACAGCATTCTCTTCTGGCGACGCGGCCGTCGCCTCTTCACCTTCAACGCTCCCATGTTCATCGTGCGTCTCCGCAGTGTCATCTGCCGCTAGCCCGTCAACAGCTACTGTTGTTGTTGTTCCCGCTGCAGCTACCTCCGTGGCTGCCGGTGACGTCGCAGTCTGGTCGCCGTTGCTAAGGGAGTGTGCCGCACTTCTTGGCTCACCTTCCCCCTGTGGGATGGTTGAGACTTCAGCTGCCTGATCTACAGCTGACGGTGTCTCTGACGGCACCGCTTCCGACATGGCACGCTCCTCCTTTCTGCACAGAAATTTCCTTGAAGAGGCGATGTTAAAACAAAGATAATGTTGATTAGCAAGGAGCAGACCCCAACATCTACACAAAGCTCGGAGGAAAGAGACCCACCAAAGCGGCACAGGCGTATTAACGACAGAAGCAAGGAGACAACATTAATAATAACAATCGCAACTCTCAACTCCGCATCACACAAGACTGCGAAGTCGCGTTATCTCTTTTGCCTCGAGCCCCAGCACCTGCCCACAGTAGTCAGCGCGGCGCAAGACCGATTGGAGAAAATCCCGCAGTCTCGCTGGGCTGCCGCGCAGGGAAACAACACCGCTGCTACCGTCACGCCCAGCGATACGGAGGATGCGCCAGCGGTGCAGTGCAGTGATGGCGGCACGAAATGCGGTACGGTCCAGCGCCGCAGCAGCCTGCGTCCCCATCGATGAGGCCACATCCTCTAGCAGGTCGGTGACAGTTCGCATCACACCTGCTTCGTGCCGCAGGTAAACGTATGCAAGGATTATAAAGGTCTCACGGGAGCAGTAGCCCAACTCCGCAAGGCGGCAATTAGACAAGAGGTCATCAAAGAGAATCTGATGGCTGCAGGAGGAGAGTGTCACCGCTTCCACATTCCTCCCCACTATGGTACTGAAGGGTAAACAACCTGAACGAGTCGATAGCCACAGCGTTTGCACAGCTTTAGGTGCAGTGGAAAAAGCCGGACGGAAATCGACGCTTTCGTTATTCGTTGCCAAACGGGATGTTAACCATGACAAGATGGTTTTACGACTCGCAGCATTGAGAAGGGGAAGACGCCCAGAACATGTCATGCCAATAGCAGCAGAGACGGCTGCCACCACCCGTCCTGCTGTAGCGCCGATGCTCCTCAGCTGCCCTGATACGCTTACAATGTGGCGTGCAAAGGCGTTGTCATAATTTCCACCCGACGTCTCTTCCGCGACTCTAGTGGCGGCATCCAATTCGGCGATAATGTTTGTTGCCATCTCCAGCATAGTCTGCTCAAACAGTTGCGTCCTACCACGCCCAAGATTACTCGCGGTGTCCCATAGCTCCTCCTGGTGGTGCTGCTGGTGTTCTCCTTTCGCGTTCAAAACGTCAAAGCGCCAGCCTATGAAAGGGTTACTCTCATGGTCAATATCACCATCAGAAGGATTTCCATTCAATGACTTTTTCGCTCTCTTCTCCTTAGCGGTCGCCTGCTTGGCAATGAATCGTTGTAACCGTTCTTGCACCTCCACAAGACACGCCCGAGCTACACGGCTAGTGCTCCACGGAAGCAGTGGGATACACCGCGTCTCGCATGTGAGTCGACTCGACAAGCGCTTCTCCAGTTGTCGGATGTCCGGCGTGAACGACGTCATAACGAGCGACATACCACCTCCACGCCCATCACTCTCGTGCATGAGACCAGACAGCACATACAGAAGCTTGTCACACCAAACTCCAAAGCGCTCGACTCGACGAATACAAATAACAAGATTTGCACCATAACTTTTCATCAAGAGGAGAGTCCTCTGCAAAACTGGCAAGGCGCTAGAGGCACCACCTGCAGCGTACGCGGTGGTTGCCGTCACCAATAACGAGTCCTCTTCTTCGTCACTGCACTCATCGTCTCGTTCCAATACATCAGGCGAAGGTGAACGACGACGCTTCTTAGTTTCTTTTTTCAAGTTCTCTTGAGAGTCTCTTCCTGATCGCCGTCGCCGGCCAGCTGAGGGTCTATTGCATACCCAGGTGGTGGAACTGTCTTTGTTATCATCATCGTTGTCGCGATCATCTGTCTCCTCATCCTTCTGCTCCAAGAGTTTAGGAAAGCCAAAGAGTTTTCCGAATTCAAACGTCCCAGTTCGCAAGGACCAGTCAGCAGCGCGCAGCTTCGCCGACTGAGGGCTCTTAAGAAACTGCAAAATCTGCTGGGCGATAGAGCGAAGGGCGTCTTCATCACCGTTCAATGTATCACCGTCGAGGTAAAGGACAAGCGTTTGATCGCGCTGAATGCAGTCCTGTGCCACCAGGCGCAGAATGCGATGCTCGCCACAGCCACGCGGGCCCCACAGGGCGTGGCAGGAACGGTGTCCGAGCGTACACGAGGCTGCAATGGCGCTGCGAACGGAGCGGTACGCCTCCTCATGCATGCCAAATTCGTCACGTCTCACTGTTGTGTCGTCAGCACTCTCGCCTTTCGCCGATGAACCTGGAGGGGAGCGACCGCGCTTTGCCACTGAGAGAAACGGCCTACCAGTGCGGACGGTGAGTAGTGCCAGAGAGCGACAGCACTGCACAGAGAGCTGATGCTGAGCATCTGCTAGGAATTTAATCTTGGCATCCTCTTCAGTAGGGCGATGACTCTCGCATGACCGCATGCGAAGTAGCGCAGTTCTGTGTTTCTTCTTCACTAGTAAACAAGACCGCAGTAGGAAGGAAGGGCAGATGTAACAGCAAACAGTTTCGCGTTATTTTGGAATTTGTTTGCACAAGCATAAATGTTGCGTGCATATCAGGTGGATATCCACGACAACAGTTATGAGAGAATAAAAAAATAAGAACCGCACAGGAATGCGAACAAAGCAAAGAAAGCAAAAGTAGAGAAGAATCAAATAATGTAAACCAATTTCACACGTCTTTGCAGGTTGGAAGCTTATGTATAAGAAGCGAATACGTGTTAGGTTTATGTTGGCGCGCCTTCAGAGGAAACAACTTCACGTGCCTGAACAGATTCGCCTCTTCAATAATCTCCACCAGCAGGCAGCTCAACGGGTAAACTTTAGAAACACATGGCTCCACATTCCCGCGTGGGAACTCTGACTCCTCTGTCCACCCATTGTAAATTTTCCCTCCAGGTCTCACCACACGCGTTAGCTGCTGCAGCACACTGCAGAAGAGTGTCACGTTGTAAACGTGGTAGATGGAGCCGAAGCTATATGCATGATCAAAATAATTTGAAGGCAGCCAGTTCAGTTGAGTTCCATCGGCGGCACAGTAGTGGTTCTGCTTTGATGTCATATCTCGGGCGTACTCTGTAGTCTTGTTGCTGATGTCGATCCCAAGGCCGACGGCACCGAAGAAGGTGTTCATAAATTGCAAGTGATGTCCACAACCGCTTCCCCAATCGAGCAGACGGTCGCCCTTCTTTACCTTCAACAAATTTGCGATAACAAGAAGGATGGCCTTGTGATCCTCAATGGTGACACGATGCCAGATGCCATCCTTTTGACAATTGTGGGCGCGACGGTCGTACTTCTCTGCAACGCTAGTGGGCTTCTTGCGGGGTAAGTGCTCTAACGGTATTTGGCGCAATTCAAACGACGGGTCGTATGGCGGACACAACGGCCATTCGACGCGATTGTGGGCTCTGCGGTCCTCGCCCTGCACATCCGCAACAGCGTTCCCTCTTCGATTAAATGCGCTGCAGTCCCTCCCTTTGGGGCCGTGGCACCGGAATGGCACGGCGTCCACGTCATTGAAAACCTCGTCAGGCACCGCATTCACCTCCTTCTGTGAGCCCTTTGTTATCACGAGTGAGTATGTATTGGGTGTGGTCTGCCGTGCTTTGAGAGGGAATATTTGAACGTTTGAAAAGGCCTTTCTTTCCTCCACAATTTCGTACTTCACCGGGAGATCTGACAGGCACAAGGGCACGTGCTCTCTCTTGAAATCATTTTCATCGCTCCAGCCGTTATATACTGTTCCCGATGGCTTTACTACACGCACCATTTGCCGTAGCACATTGCAGAAAAGAGTTTGATTATAAACATGCAGCACCGAACCGAAACTAATAGCATGGTCAAAGAAGTTCGACGTAATCCATGTGATATTCGTCCCGTCCGCAACACAATGAAGAAGTTCTTTAGATGTGAGCCTCCGCGCGTAAAGTATGGTTGCATTCGCCACATCAATACCCACACTTGTCACACCGTAATCGTCGTACATCACCTGCATACTGTGTCCGCACCCGCTACCCCAATCAAAAACAAACGAGTTACGTTCAATTCGTCCAAGTCGTACAATGCCATGAAGTATTTGACGGTGATCTTCTGCCCGCACACGGTGCCACACACCATTCGATAGACAATTATGCGCACGTCTGTTGTACTTCGCAGCCACACTCGTGGCCTTTTTCCGGGGGAGATGCTCTAGGGGTATCTGAAGTCTTTCCAAAGCCACAGCGTCATACGGAGGACACTCCAGACCACGCAAAGACGTTCTGTATACTTCATCATCCCCACCCGCCGCCTCCACAGCGGAGTGTTTATCGTCATTCTCCATCTTTACTTGAGAACCACTGCGAGGCAACGCCGACAATGATACACGAGTCGTTCCACGTGAAGATGACCGTAATTGCTGTGGTTGCGCTGAGGTTGATACGACATCTCTTGACACAGGAAAAGGTTGATGAGGCCGCACACGTTTGTCACGAGGCACTTCTTCACCCTCGCTCACAGGAAACCCCAACGAAGAAATCAAAAGTGTCAGCACCAAGCAAAGAAGACACAACAAAGCTAAAGCAAAGGCTACAAACCAGCTCCGCTTCAATTGTGCCCTATGAAACCGACGAAGGCCCCCGCGGGGGGTAGAATAAATCATTAATTCTATCTAACAGCTTTGTAAACCAACAGAAAAAAATCACGTAAAAAAACAAATGCAGTAGTCCACAATAATAAATCTCACTAAAAAACCAAAAATACAACTCAACATAATCTCAACACCTCAGGAATCTCCACCTCCTGAAATCCCCCCGCCGCGAGTGCAGTGCACGGTACGGGGTGTTAGACGGGGGTGTCGGCAAGAATGGGGAAGAGGGAGAAAAAATGGTCACACGATTGTGGGTGAGAGTGG